AAAAATCGGCCGTCAAATAACCAAGTTACAACGAAAAAACCATTTCGGCTGTATTTCGGAGGGTTAAAAAAAAAAAAAAAAATTTTTCCAGAACCCTCTCAACATACTCTTTAAATTTAGGGGCGGACATTAGCAACTTTTTTTTTCGACCCAGTCTAATGTACAGTTCATGGAGGATGGTTCCGTGCGCAGAAGTGGAAAACTTTTGACTGCCATTCACCTGGGAGTGGCCAGAAGCGATTCTTGTGCGTACGGTTCAAATCGCAGCTCACAACGTCCGGATATTTATATCCACGTATCCTCTGGGTAGCAGCCAAACACCCGTTTGGGAGCGAGCTAAAGTGAGAAGGCGTAAAACTTCGCGTGCGCTGGGTTTGGGTCCCGCCACGTTAAAACCCCGCCCAATGAAAAATTCCAACAAGCCTCGGATGAGACCCCCTTTTTCTGATGACGACCACGGCAAACGTATAAAGGACTATGATTTAAGGGTATGCACCTGGAATATCCGGACCCTTAATGGGGAAGGTGCCTCTGCCCGGCTGGTTGATGTCCTCGGGAAGACAAAGGCTGACATCACCGCCATCCAAGAAATGCGATGGACGGGGCAAGGTAAAGTAAGCGTGAAGCCTTGCGACGTCTACTACAGTTGCCACGTAAAGGAGCGCAAATTCGGTGTTGGATTCGTGGTAGGAGAGAGACTCCGTCGCCGAGTACTGGCGTTCACCCCGGTGGACGAACGTCTAGCCACAATCCGCATCAAAGCTAGATTCTTCAACATCTCGCTCATCTGCGCCCATGCCCCGACGGAAGAGAAGGACGAGGCGTCCAAGGATCTCTTCTATGAGCGCTTGGAACGTACATATGAGCGCTGCCCCCGACACGATGTCAAAATCGTGCTTGGCGATTTTAATGCCAAGGTCGGCAAGGAAGGGATCTTTGGCGCCACTGTCGGAAAATTCAGCCTCCACGACGAAACGTCCGATAACGGACTGAGGCTGATCGACTTCGCCGGGGCCCGAAATATGGTAATATGTAGTACTAGGTTCCAGCATAAGAACATCCACCAAGCTACATGGCTGTCTCCGGATCGAAAAACGAGAAACCAAATCGATCATGTTGTGATAGACGGAAGGCATGCTTCAAGCGTTTTGGACGTACGTACACTCCGAGGGCCAAACATCGACTCGGACCACTATCTTGTTGTAGCCAAGATACGCACCCGCCTCTGTGCAGCAAAAAATGTGCGCCCAACAATGCAAGGAAAGCTTAACGTCGAAAAGCTGCAATCACAACAGACGGCCAATTTATTCGCCACTCGACTCACACACCTGCTCTCTGAGAGCACTCTTCAACAATCCGACGTACGCGAGCAGTGGAACCACATTTCCCGATCATTAAGTACCGCCGCCGAAGAAGTAGTTGGATTTCAGCGAGCCCGAAAGAACAACTGGTACGATGAGGAATGTCAAGAAGCCGCAGAGAAAAAAGATGCCGCCTACAGGGCCACGCTGCGATCGGGCGCAACGCGAGCCATGTGGGCCCGTTATAGGGAACTGAAGAAGGAAGCGAGACGTATTTGCCGCAATAAGAAGAGAGAGGCCGAAATACGTGAGTGCGAAGAGCTTGAGATGCTGGCCGACAGGAAGAACGCCCGAAAATTCTACCAGAGGGTTAGGCGACTTACGGAAGGTTTCAAGACCGGGGCGAACTCCTGTAAGAACAACAATGGCGACCTAGTGACCGATGTCCAGAATATACTTAAATTGTGGAGGGAACACTTTTATAACCTACTGAATGGTAGCAGCGCTGAAAGTAGTGAGGAAGACGAACCCGAGTCCCCAGTCGATAATGATGGAGTAGCTGTCCCACCGCCTGACTATGACGAGGTACGAATAGCGATTACGCGGCTGAAAAACAACAAAGCTGCTGGAGCTGACGGCCTGCCGAGCTATTCAAGTACGGCGGCGAGGAGCTGATGATGTGCATGCATCAGCTCGTATGCAGAATATGGTCAGATGAACGCATGCCCGACGACTGGAATTTAAGTGCGCTCTGCCCAATCCACAAGAAAGGCGACCCCGCCATACGCGCCAACTACCGCGGAATTAGCCTTCTAAGCATAGGTTACAAGGTCTTATCGAGCGTATTGTGCGAAAGACTGAAGCCCACCGTCAACGAGCTGATTGGACCTTATCAGTGTGGCTTTAGGCCTGGAAAATCCACCATAGATCAGGTATTCACAATACGCCAAATCTTGGAAAAGACCCGCGAGAATAGGATCGACACACACCATCTATTTGTCGATTTCAAAGCCGCTTTCGACAGCACGAAGAGAAGTTGCCTTTATGCCGCGATGTCTGAATTTGGTATCCCCGCGAAACTAATACGGCTGTGTAAAATGACGTTGAGCAATACCACCAGCTCCGTCAGAATAGGGAAGGACCTCTCCGAGCCGTTTGATACCAAACGAGGTTTCAGACAAGGGGACCCCCTTTCGTGTGATTTCTTTAATCTTATGTTGGAGAAGATAATAAGAGCCGCAGAACTGAACCGCTCAGGCACAATACTTTATAAGAGCGTACAATTGCTGGCGTATGCCGACGACATCGATATTATCGGTAAAAACAAGGGCTACGTCTGTTCTGCCTTCTCGGGATTGGATAGAGAAGCAAAGCGAATGGGTCTGGTGGTGAACGAGGACAAAACGAAGTATCTCCTGTCAGCACACAAACAGTCAGATCATACGCGTCTTGGCACCCACGTCACTGTTGACAGTTACAAGTTTGAAAAAGTAGACGACTTCGTTTATTTGGGAACCAGCATTAACACCAATAATAATGTCAGCTTTGAAATCCAACGGAGAATCACTCTTGCCAACAAGTGCTACTTTGGGCTGAGTAGGCAATTGAGAAGTAAAGTCCTCTCTCGTCGTACAAAGATCACACTCTATAAGTCACTCATCATGCCTGTGCTGGTGTATGGCGCGGAAGCATGGACAATGAAAGCATCTGATGAGGCGGCTCTTGGAGTTTTCGAGAGAAAGATTCTGCGAAAGATTTACGGACTTTTACGCGTTGGTGATGGCGAATATCGCAGACGATTTAACGATGAGCTGTATGAGCTTTACAACGATATAGACATAGTGCAGCGAATTAAAATTCAGCGGCTTGGCCATGTCGTTCGGATGGACAGAAACGCTCCTGCTCTGAAAATATTCAACGCGGGCCGCGATGCTGGGAACAGAGGAAGAGGAAGGCCTCCTCTGCGTTGGAAAGACCAGGTGGAGAAGGACTTGGCTTCACTTGGCATTTTCAATTGGCGTCAGTTAGCACAGAAGAGAAATGACTGGCGTGCTGTTTTGGACTCGGCCAAAATCGCTTAGGCGGTTACAGCGCCAAATAAGAAGAAGAAGAAGATGTACAGTTCATGGAGAAATAATGTAGGCAATTATGTATGTAGAGTCGTTTATGTTGCCAGAAGGAGCAACTAACATTGCTGTTAGCACTTACATTTGTATATGGTCGTTTAAAGAACAAAACCGCGTATCGTTGTTCTGCAAGACCGCGTAACTGACATTGGCTGCCAAAAATTGGATTTGCTCACACAAGCTCTTGGCTCAGTCCTTATCCATTCGTCCTGAAATATACTAGCCAGAAATGCGATTGCTTTATAAAAAGGAGAACAATTTTGAAATATGAGTGTTTTTACTCTCTATAAAACAATTTATGCAACCTCACATACGCGGTTTTGCATTTTGTCGATACGCGGTGTTCTACTTTAAACGACGATATGCATATTTATGTACATACATATGTATCTATGTAATTACGCATAAAAACCCTGCTATTATGTTACCTAAGTGAGCGCATTATTAAAAGCAGCAACTCTTATTCATCTATGTATATCGCAAAGCTCGAGAACGGCTGAACCGATTTTTTTTAAATTTCCGACACCTGCTGCAGACGTTCAAAGGAATGTTATCGGCTAACAAAAATCTCGATATATAGAAGGGGCGTGGAACCTCCCATACAAACCGAATTTTTCACACTGCATATCTCTGGAAGTGTTCATGGTAGAGTGATGGAACTTGGTATCGCATTGGATCGCATAATCTTGGAGAAAAATTGGACCTATTGGAAAAGGGGGCGTGGCACCGCCCTTTCAAACCGAATTTCTCATATCTCTGGAAGTATTTATGGTAAAGTATTGGAACTTGGTATGGAGATATATGATATCAATCCCATACTCTTGGATAAAAATTCGTACTATTTCAAAAGGGGGCGTGGCACCTCCCGTACAAACGGAATATTTCATAATAAGTATATCTGGAAGTGTTCATGGTAGAGAACTGGAACTTTATATGGGCGTGGCACCTCCCATACAAGTCCAATTTTTCTTATTGCATATCTCTAGAATTGTTCTTGGTAGAGTACTGGAACATGGTGTGGTGATATATGAAATTAATCGCATAGTCACGGAGAAAATATGGAGCTATTGGAAAAGGGGGCGTGGCACCTACCATGCAAGCCGAACTTCATACTGCATATCTCTGGAAATGTTCATGGTAAGTACTGGAACACTTCGTATGGAGATATATGAAATTAATCCCATATTCATTGAGAAAAATGGGCTCTTTGAAAAGAGGGCGTGGAAAAGTACAAAGTACTGACTTTTACTTATTATTGAACGTGTATATAATTCTTCTGTATGTATATTTGTGAGTGTTAAAAAGCTAGAATAAGCCAATGTAGGTTTCAGTTCACTTTATTGGTAATCGTACTAAGCAGTTTATTGTACACTATATTTGAAGAATACTTCGATACTTGTTGCAAATTATATCTTTATTGTAGGGCCGAGCCCCTGTGCGCGCTAGTTGTAAAACTTAAAGTGGATTAAATAACAAAAAACAAAGCACGAAAATTGCACAAAGAAAACTGGTCAGCTGCCAACAGGCTTGCCAAATGCCATGATTTCTTGAACATTCCGCCCACCTCGTCCTAAGTGGGGACGAAGTTATGATGCCTCAGGCCGCCCACCGTCTGCGAGTGGTTTATCGATTGGTAAGATAGGAAGTTTGTTGACGGGTCGTTTGAGCGTTGAAGATTTAGTTTTGACGGTCACCACTCCTACGATGCCATCTGATCCTTCATGGATGTCCAATATTCGCCCCAACGGCCACTGCGTTGGGGGTGAACGTTCGTCTCGAATAAGGTAAAGCTGCCCAATTTCGATGTTTGGGTTTTGTTGGCGCCACTTGGTTCTGGCTTGGAGTCCTTGAAGATATTCGTTCGACCATCGTACCCAGAAGTCATGATACATCTGCGTAAGCTGTTTCCACCTAGTCAGATGTGTCATATTAGCGTTAAACGAATATCCTTCCGGGGTGGTTGTAAGAGCTCTGCCGACCAAGGAGTGCCCCGGAGTTAACGCCGTGAGATCGTCGGGATCGTCACTGAGCGCGGTTAGTGGCCGTGAATTGAGGCAGGCTTCAATTTGTTTTAGTACGGTGTACAGCTCCTCAAAAGTTAAAGTAGCCTGTCCAACTACTCGTTTTAGGTGCACCTTCATGCTTTTCACCGCAGCCTCCCAGATCCCCCCAAAGTTAGGGGCGGCAGGTGGTATGAAATGCCAGTTTATTTCACGACGAGAAGTGTACGATGCAGCTGCTTGAAGCTGAGCTTTCAAAGCTTCTCGTTCGCCGGCCAAAAGTGCGTTTGCGCCTACAAATGTGGTACCATTATCGCTGTAGACATCTGTGCAAAGGCCTCGAGTAGCAATAAAACGATTTAGAGCAGCTATAAACGCCTCGGCAGTCATATCGCTCACAAGCTCTAGATGGCAAGCTTTCGTAGCGAGGCAAATAAATACAACTGTGTACCCCTTATAGGCACGATGTCCTCTGCCCTTTGTCGTGCGCACTTGGAACGGACCTGCGTAATCTATTCCGGTATGGACGAATGGCAATGAGACGTTGCACCGAGGACTTGGTAGTTGACCCATAAGTTGTGTGCTTGGTTGACAAGTTTGTCGAAAACATGGCAGACATTTCCTGATGACAGCTTTCACTGCTGTACGGCCGTTTATCACCCAGAATCGTCGTCGAATGTGGTTGAGGGTTGACTGTTTAATTAGTAATAATGTTAAGTGACTATTTTTGGGTAGAATCATGGGGTATCGCTCTTTAAATGATAGGTTAGCGTTTTTAAGCCGCCCACCGACGCGTAATATGCCCTCAGGATCGACGAGGGGGTGCAGGTTGGCCAGCTTGCTCTTCGTGTCGATGCTCTTGCCCGCGCGTAACTGTTTCAGTTCCAGAGCAAACTCTTCTTGCTGTACTCGCTTCGTCCAAGATTTTAGCGCGGCATAGCGTTCACTCCAAAGACAATGCGACGTTGTAGCATGGGCTTTTCCAAGTTTGGCGGAAATAAAGCGCCTGCTCCAGGCGGTGACAGCGAGTAACTTACCAAGATCAGAATACTTTTCGAGGATTGATGACTCAGCCACTGCAGTCTGCGTGTTTAGCAACTTAATGGTTTTCATTTCAGGAAGCAGATGAGGAACCGGTGGGCGTAGTTGCGGCCAACTGTCAGCAGATGATTGTAGCCACGGTGGCCCCGTCCACCAAAGCGCATGATACCTCCATGTGTCGCTGGATGTGATTTCGTGTATCTGAGTGATTCGATTAGCAACCAATTCTTTAAGCTTGCCGGGGTTTGACCGAATCCATCCAAGCGCAGTGGTTGAATCCGACCAAAAAAACGTGTCGACAGTTTGCAGCTTAAGAACTCCTTGAACCTTTTTGATGAGTTGGGCAGCCAGCAGCGCTGCACAAAGCTCGAGTCGTTATATAGTAACCCTTTTGAGTGGCGCCACCTTAGTTTTGGCTATAAGTAAGGTGACATGTGCGTCGCGCTCCGAAATCACCCTTAGGTACACCACCGCGGCATATGCTTGTGCAGATGCATCTGCGAATGCGTGATATTCAAACGAGGTGGCATTGTGAGACGTTTGTATCCAGCGTGGAACTCTGAGTTTGCTTAAGCTCTCTAATTCGGCACGAAGCATTCCCTACTCGTTTTGGATTGATTCAAATTGAATAAAATCTTTCCTCGTATTAGTACTGGAGCCAAGAAGCCCAGCGGGTCGAATAACTTCGCGACGTCTGAAAGCAGTTGGCGCCTAGTGAATCGTCGATTAGCAGGGTTAAGCGTTATTTTGTAGCTGAAGCAGTCGGAGTGTGTCATCCAAACGATGCCTAAGGCCTTCGACTCGGTTTCAGTGTTAAGCTCATACGGGTCCTTATCCCCATGATCTTCATGATCTATTTCTCGCAGCATATCAGTAGAATTGGAGTTCAATTTCGGAGTTTGAAACCTCCAGCTAGCAAAAGTTGTTGTAGTTCACCTCTGAGTTGATTGGCCTCAAAAATGGTTCCAGCACCAGATAGAACGTCATCTACATAGAATTCGTTCAATAGTGTGGAACAGGCGTGCGGAAACTGTTGTTATTCATCTCTAGCAAGCGTTTGTAAAACCTTCATAGCAAGGAACGGCGCACAATTGGTTCCATAAGTAACCGTTAATAACCGAAAGGTTGAGGTACTCTCGATCGCCGAATCGCCAGACAATTCGTTGCAAGTCGACGTCTTCCCGATGGACCAAAATTTGCCTGTACATCTTTTAGATGTCGGCTGTGAAGGCAATTCGGTATTTGCGCCAGTTCAAGACGACCGAAGCAAGATCCTTCTGTAACTTTGGACCTGTGTGTAGGCAGTCGTTCAACGACAACCCAGACCCACTTCGCTTTGATGCGTTGAACACGACACGCAACGTGGTCGTAGTGCTTGAGTCCTTTAGCACGCTGTGATGTGGAAGATAGCTGACGCGTCCGTTGAGCATATCGTTTCCAACCAACTCCATATGACCAAGTTTGTAGTATTCGGACATGGAAGTCGTGGTATAGTTTGCGTACTGAGACATCTCGATTTAAACGGCGTTCCATGGTACTTAATAACGATAGTGCAGCCTCTCGTGATGATGAAAGTTGAGAAAGGCCCGATTCATTTTTGACCGGGAGTCGTACCACATACCGACCTGTCTCAGTGCGTTGCGTAGTAGATTCAAAGAACTGGTTGCAAAATATCTCATCTTTAGTTAAGGTTTGTTGCACGGCTACCTCTTCCTGCTCCCAGAATCGACGAAGAAGTTCGTCTAGCTCCAGTCTAGTGCAATAGCAGTCATACGCGGCCTTCATTGATGAGTTACCTCGTTCTGGTAGGCTGCCGAAAATAACCCATCCTAATTGCATATTTTGTGCGATGACATTAGTGTTGGGGCTACGCTTGATATCGTTCAGCATGATTGTGGCGTAGTCACCAGCACTCAAAATGACGTCGATAGCTCCTGATATGTTGAATTTAGGATCGGCAAGTTTAAGGTCCCAAAACGGCTTAAAGTGTTCAGGATGATAGTTCACAGATGGACTCAGGTTTCCTACGCGTGAAATACTAGAGCAGTGCAGCGCATTTCGAAAGTGGAAATAGTTGAACGTAGCGAAAACTCCACCGAGCCAGTGGTTGTAGCCAACCTTTGACCGTTAGCTCCATTTAATGGAATACGCAGCGGCGACCTCGATAGTTTAAGCTGGGATACTACATATTCACTGATAAAGGTGGCTTCAGCTCCGCTATCTAACAAAGCGCGTAGTACCATGGTGTGACCGGTGTTAGAATGCAGCTCGACTAACGCTGTTCCGAGTAGCACCGGAGGAACGACCGAAGAGGTCTGCTGAGTGATGGATGCGTTGTATGTATATATAGGACTTTGGTTGCTTGCTGACGAAGATTTCATGGTCGCAGGTGGAGTCGGTTGGTTGTTTGCGCAGTACTCATGAATCATAGTGTGGTGAGCCGAATTGCATTTTTGACAACGGCGTTTTGACGAGCACTGATGAGCTTTGTGACCAGAGCGCAAACAGTTCAAGCACAGGCTTGCTTGCTGTACTGTCTTGTATCGCTGCTGGGGCGTTTGGTTACGAAAGTCTGTACAAAATAAGATGTAGTGCTTGCTAGAACAGCAAGGGCAACTCGCTTCAGTAGTATGGTACCCTTTCAAACCTTGTTGTTTGGATTTGATAGTAGTAGTGTCCTTCGACTGTAAATTACTTGGCTTAAAATCCGCGAAGCTTTGCACGACTTTCAATGATTTGGTTTGATTTTCGATGAAATTACGTAAATCATCGAAAGTTGGAAGTGTGTTGTTGGAGGAGATAGACAGCTTCCACGCACGTACAGAGGCACTGTCAAGCTTGTGCACAACAGTGTAGATGAGCCAGTCGTCCTAGTGAGCTACCGGACGGCCAAGTTGTTCTAATGCTCGTAACGATGCGGTGACACTGTCAATCAATGATCGCAAATTGGCGGCGGATTCTCTTCGTATCGGTGGCAAATTTGTAATTTCGGTTAGATGTGCATTGATAATGATGCGTTTGTTGTCGAATTTGCGCTCCAGCAAGCACCAGGCGACAGTGAAGTTACCGTCTGTTGTAGCAATGTTATCCAGTGAGTTTTTCGCTTCGCCAATGAGACTGTCCTTTAAATACTGCAAGCGCTGCGTGTCTGACAAGTCTCGATTTTTGATGATGATCGACGTGAATAAATCCTTGAAGGGGTACCAGCGCAAAAATGACCCATCGAAAGGTGGTAGTTTAATTGGTGGAAGGCTATGAACCGGATACACAGCAGTTGCAGGAATTGTTGGTGGCTCCGTAATGATAGGGGAGCTCGTTGCCTCAATCATATCGTTCAGCTCCCCCAATGTTTCGGTGTAGATGCGCTCGATTTCGTTGTACGCGTCCAAAGCCGGCTGTGCCAGCTCAGTAGTGCAGGCATCGTCAGCAGCGTTTGAGACTTCGTCATAGATTTTGACGTATTTTTCCCAATACTGGCAAAGCAGTGATCGGCGGCCGGTTAGAAACCCATTGGTTTGTTTATTTTTAGCGGTTTTGCGTAAAAAAAAACTTCTTAGTAGCTGGTTTGACTGCTGATATATATACGTGGACGGCGAAGAAGTCCAGTTAGCGTTCCCGAATATTCTTATGTGTATAGCAAGTATGCATATAAGCAGCTTTATATATATATGTATATAGGTAGCTTTCATGCAAACAGTAAAGAGTGCCGTTTGCAATGTACATATGTAAATAGCTTCAAAGTTAACAAATTTGAAGCAGCGTAGTTATAACATTTACTTTTGCAATTAATTTGCACGCAAAAGAGTCGGCGATGGCTAATGATGTCTTTTGTATGCAAATCAACCAAAAGCGAAGCGCACACAAGAAACTCCCCGCAAGGAATGCCAATGTTAAAAAGCTAGAATAAGCCAATGTAGGTTTCAGTTCACTTTATTGGTAATCGTACTAAGCAGCTTATTGTACACTATATTTGAAGATTACTTCGATACTTGTTGCAAATTATATCTTTATTGTAGGGCCGAACTGAAACTGAAAGTGGATTAAATAACAACAAACAAAGCACGAAAATTGCACAAAGAAAACGTCAAACTGGTCAGCTGCCAACAGGCTTGCCAAATGCCATGATTTCTTGAACAGTGAGTGAAATCCTAAATGGCTAGGGGGAATTTCAACAAAGTTTTGTGTGTGTGTATGTTTGAGTGGGTCTCTGGATAGTTTAGTAAAGGCAGTTCAATTGCAAAAAAGAGCTGCCAGGTGGTGCTGACATCGAGTTATTACTAAAAATCGACAAGTGAGAAAAGGTGCCGTAAATGTCAGACTAAATCGACGTGTTGCGCCATTGAGTATATCGAACTCTCGTGTGTTACGATTGGCGCAATGGATGTGATTTGCCAATATTATTATGCGTTAAAGCTCAAATCTCACCTCTCAAATCACCATCTGTCGAAATACCTTAAAAGCCAGTTTCATGAAAGCAATTTAATGAAAATTTATTTTTTTAATTGAATTTAATTTAGAACCTGACAAAAAAATCCTTTTTCACTTAAATTGCTTTCGCGAAACTGGCTTTTAAGGTATTTTATCTCAGTCTATGTATGTATATTGTATTTCTGTTGAACAAGGATACGCATTCGTTTTGAAATTGCTACCAACTATAAAATACAGTTTCTAGGGCACATTCACTATAGATCTGGATCATTTTTGCCACCAGGGAACTTCTAATGGGCATAACACTTTCGTTCGGTTATTTATGTCGGCAAACGACCGTCAAACCATAGTCTTAGCCGATGAATGTGCCAGTACAAATCGTAAATTGTGGATTATTGGAGAAACCACCAAAATGTTTAAATTAAAAATCTAATTTTGTGCGGGACGAAGTTCGCCGGGTATGCTAGTATAATATAACTTCGTTGGTGAAATATACATGAAATTCTCGATGAAGAACAAAACCAAATATATCAAGTGAAAACTAAGTACAAAACATACAAGAAAGTAATATTGTTATTGTCTACGTTCGTTGTTTGCTCAATTACTGTTTTTGTTTTATACCCTACATACGGCATAACTGTTAGGTACAAACGTATATTATCAAAAGTAGGCTAAATACTGTTTTGTTTCAAAGGCGAAACTTTTAGTACTTGCATGTATCAAAGAAATTATGTATACATTTATGCACATACCTGCTCAGACTTATAAAATAAAATTTGGGCTTATTAAATTTTACAATAATAGTTTAGAATTACGTAACTTACTTGTTCAATGATCTATAGGGTATATGTGAAGCCGTAAAGAATTGTACATATTGCATATTTTTATTGGTAATTATAATCTGTGTTATTGTTTATGCAGTGAACAGAAATAATGAAAGTGATATTTTTAACTAATATGGTTACGGGTAGACGAGTAAACGGAGAATAACCATAACTTTAAAGGCCTAATTATATTATTATTTTCTTTATAGGTACGAGTTCAATCATCATTTGGGTTACTCGTCAAAGCCTTTATGAAATAATGAAAAACTTAGGCTGCGATCGATTCAATGATAAATTTAACGTTTTAACGGTACAAATGAAAGATCGCATCAGGCCATCTGATGAAAATTTAAAAGAATTTGATGAAAATATGAGATATTTCATCTCTGAGGTCAAAATTCGTTGGAATAGGTCCTGCAGACACGAAGAACGTTTTTTTTAAAC